CTTGTTTCATAATTTCAAATCTATTTGGAAAAAGTATGTTGACCATATTTAATTGAGATAACCATATCTAAAAATGATAAAACGTCATACACAATGTCAAAGTCATGAAGTTTAACCCATGAATAAAAGGCATGAAGAAAGGACGTTTGAATTCTATTCATTAGGATGAAATATGCAGACATTTGCAACTCTTATGGTCCCATATACATGTATTAAACATAGAAATATTGATAAACTGTTTATAAGATCAAAACTCAAATTAAATAAAATGCAGTGAAATTGATTGGTTTGTTCACAAGAATGGTCCCTTGTCTGCTCATGAGGGGTATCATGAGGAGGGCCTACGGGCCTAAGCATGCTCTCTACGTACTTAATTTGAAGACAGATGGTAAATACAACCGAAACACGCTTAATAGGTCATTGTATATTGTATTTTATTTACAAAGTGTTTCAAGAGTATAGGATTCTTATATGCTAAAGGCATAAGGTTGATACATCGTCTTACTTTTAAAAATTGAACTAACCCGAGACATGTTGTGGGCGCCATTTTGTTTCCAACAAACGCTTGAAAATCACAGAACAAAACAGTCTTTCTGATAAAAACTTATTTTGATGGAATTCTATTTTATAAAAGTTGATAAACATAAAAAAAAATTATTAGAATAACCTTGTGAGAAAAACTTTCCAGTCGGCGTGTTTTAATTGGGTCGGTCGCGTTAGGGGAAACAAAGGTATTTTTTATTTTGGCCTAATTTGTTCAAATGAAAGACTAAACCCCAAACCAAGGGGAGATAATGAAGAAGTCTTTGCTAGACAATTTATTGTCTTCAGATGCAGTCTGGTACAGTTGCTCTACTTAACCAAGGTTATTACCAGGAACTCAATCAATAAAATGCAAGATGAGGGAGAAAATTATAGATTTTCTCTCTCATTTCCCCCCAGTTTTGGGGTCCTGTAGGACATTTTGTTACTACAATGCATGTTCAGTTACACTGCAGTTATGATTAATCATCAGAAATAATTGTTTGCTTAAGCAAAGGAATATCAATATTTAAAAATGAGCTTTGTTCAGAAATACATCATCAAGATCATAGCTTCCATGCATTATAGGCCTAGAAACAACCCTTTTCCCCCATTATCTTCCTTCAATGTATCACCAAAAAATTTATATAGTCAAAATTCTTAGATTGCTATAAAACTTCTGTTGCTTAACACAATCTGAGGCACAAAAACAATCAAAAGGATAAAAAAAAAATTGTTAGATGCAATTAAATCTGTTTGGCTGATCTGCTGATAGTAATACACAAAAACCAATGATTTTCATGCTTTGCCTATGTATTTGTACAATCAAGATTTGTTTTTATGAATGATTCAGCACAGCTGTGTGTGATATTATTGTCTAATGCACAAGGTACACCATGTACACAGCTTCTATATTGCGGTACCTATTCTGTAAAGGGGTGAGCAATTTAAGCATTTGGCAGAGGAATTGCCCGATCCCTGCAGTGCATTTTTGCTGATCTCCCATTCAATTAAGTCTGATTCTAGATAGTATCTAATGGTGGTATGCAGATGCATATGGTAATTTGGAAAGGGAATTTATCTCTGAAGCGCATCAAAATAACAGCCATTAAAAACTGCTTCCTGAAATTGAATTTTATTTTTTGCAGCTGGCATGGTTTGAAAAATATTTTTTGCATTCATTGATTCTTTTATTACTTAAGGAACATCACAGAAACAATACTGGCAAATTAATGTTTTTTTTTTGTTTTTTTTTTTTTAATTACAGAATTTTACTGATGATCATGTTGATAGGATGTGTAAAAAAAAAAAAGAATGGTCTTATATTAATGCAATAATTAAAACACATCTTTTCTGAAGTTCATTGCCATAAATTCAATTAAACCTGCATTGCATGTTTCTCCAGCAGAATTATTTTTGACTGTATGCGAAGAAACTTTGGAAATCCTGTATAACATGTATAGTACAGTACGTATTACATCAACATGATCATTGTTCAAGGACATCTAACTGCTGTTGTGATCTATCCCCCTCAAACAAATGTTTTTTTGCCGACGACAAAAAATTAGAACTGTTCAGACCTCACTTTTGGAAGTCTTTCGGAGGAGACTACAAGGGATTGGTTTGGTAATAGACCCACACAATGGACTGCTATTGATTGAAGCGTTTCAAGATGCTATGATAATATTACAGTTTATTGATTCCGAGCCTGAGGTACTGGGCTTACAGGACTATAGCTGTCTGTGTGCTACTTCTGTTTGTTCTGGCAGTGCCATGTACATGTTAAAAACAAAAAAAAAAAAAAAGAAATGAAAGTTGGTGAAATGTAATTTTTGTGTTTGTTGAAGTTGTCAATGACATTGGAATTTTACCACCTAACTAAATATTGTGTAACTGGATCATGGTGTTGAAGTTGACAAAACACACCCTCCAAAAATAATTGCTTTATCTGGAATTGTCAGATTTTCAGTTGAACTCATGAAGAGTTATAAAGTTACAGTAGCTTACTGAATTCCTTCACTGGATGCTGGGGAAATGTATTGTACGTGTTCAGTGGAAGTGAAATAAGTTGTGGAATTTTTTAGGAAGATCAGTGCTGCGTTTGTTGGGGTTTTTTGCTATACGTGTTACATAACAGCTGTCTGTTGGAATTATAATGTCTATGAGTCAGAAGGTTCTACATGTAAATGATTGTGTACCTATGAATTTTCATGTTTTAGTGTCAGCTTCTATATCATTCAGTTTAAACTTGGAGTACATAATTGTTAAAAATGTTCGTCTATTAATATCACAATATTATGCAGGCATGGCAAGAAATAGTAAAGGAGTTCATTCTAGCATACGTGTTACAGAATATATCAACTAATTATGAAACCATCTGATACTATCCAGTAAAGGTATATAAACCCTTCACTGTTAATCAAAAGTGATTAAGTCAGATCAATTTGAATTGTTTTAAAAAATGATGATGTGCTTTTTTAGCATACTCTCTTTCAAAGGATTGTATACAATTTAAGTGCCTGTCTATGCTTCTACTTTTACTTTGGTGAAACAAGCACTTTTTGCATTGGCATGCATACACTTACATAGTAGACTTGAGCATTGACTTTTCTCTGTAGAACATTTGTAACAGAATTCTGTTGAAGTCTAGATCAATATAGCCACACAACCCCATCGTCTGATGTCAACTGTTCTTCTAGAATGTTTTAATTGTCTATAACCAATCTATGAACTTGAACAAATAAGGAACTGCTCTACAATTAAAGACTTGTTAAAGGTCAATTCCAGTGTAGCATTTAAAAAAAAATCTTTGGTACACACAGTATAAATATTTATGCACTCATCAGTTATTTTGATGACATTTTAGCCTCATTTGCATCATTACTGTAGTTTGTGCCAATGTAAATGTACTACAGTAGTACGAACACAGATATAGCATATTTACAGATGTAATGAAGTTTTTCGGGATCTCCAGTAAAATTCTTAACAATTCTTGTAAAACGTTAAGGTTATGATTAACTCTGATATAACAAATTTATGGATAAACTGAACTGATTTTGTGTCCCATAGAGGTTAAATATAAGGATATTAAAATTTGAATTTAATATTTCCTTGAACATAATGCATAGTCATACCTAAGGAACACATATATTGCAAATTTGCAAATACGCTATATATATTTTTAGTGAATTTGTTATGTGGATATAACAAATTACAGATATAGTGAAGTAAATTCACAGATCCCCAGGACCTTGCTATAACCAAGGTTTCACTGTAAGAAAAAACTATTTTGAGATTCAGTATTAGTTCTCCATGTTCTCAGAACAGATTATTGTCTAGTACATATAGAACTTTCTCATGAATTCTTGACGTGTTCTAAATTTTTTTAACTTGTGAGTCTTGAATTGTTGTCATTGCTGTTTGACATTTGAATGACCTCATGATCTTCATGGATGAATGATTTGCTAACACTGTTGCTGTGGTTACTGTGTTGTCTTTGGTATTTTACGTTGTCATTGGTTACTTGGTTGATGACCTTTCCTCGTGTCCTTGAAACTCTGGTGCTATACATATTCTATGGATTTATTACCATTGAAATGAAGGTAAGACAAACAAATTGATATTCTTTTCTTTGCATGAGGTCATCAATTTTTTTATCATAATTTTTAGCTCAACCTGAGCCGAAGGCTCGAGCTTTTCTAATCAAAATTTGTCCGTTGTCTGTTGTTATCATTGGGTGAGTGATGTGGCCCATGGGCCGCTTGTGTTTTGTTCATCTTGTGTGAATCATAGCATAAACCAGTGTTAACAATTCACATGATTCAGGGAGAATTGAGATTAGATAGATATTCCAGTGCAGCCAGGTTCATTGTTTCTGTCGGTCCATCCTTATTTATGTCATGCTATACTTACATTATGGAGTACAGTAAATCCTATCTTGAACTTAATGGGACTGAGAAAAAACTTTGAGATATCTGAGGATTTGAGATATCAAGGTTAAAACACGAAGAGAAAGTTAAATTTGGACTTCCAACTCACTTCAGCATATCAATGGTATTTGAGATATCAATGCTCAAGATACTGAAGTTCAACTGTATTTGTAACGCACAGACAATACAATTTATTATATGTAGCTAATAGATACATTTAGCAGTTACATCTGAATTAGTTACATGTGCCAATCAAGATTACTTACTAAAATAAAATACTGAGGAGCTCTGATGTCAATTTTCTAGTCTGTGACTACTTTTATTTATGTCTTGCAAGCAAAACCAGGCAGTCATTGACTTTGTCAGTCATTAAACAAAGTTTGACATTTGAAATGAATAATTGGTTGGAGATAAAAAATATTTTGGAAAAAAAAAGAAACATGCATATGGTTATGTGTTTTATTGCTTACTTTAGTGACAATAATTTCATTTTTCCTAATCTTTAAATCTTGTACATGTATTAAAAAACCTTATTACATTTTGTTTCAGGGTCTAAATGGCAATCAGTTGTATTCCAAGGTGGACAGCATGGATCCATTGATTGGTCATGATTCCATCCAATCAGGAAAAACCTCAGCCACAGACAACCAATCATCACCAAATCATGTTGCTAATTTGAATATTCATCAGGAGGAAAGACCTATTCTCAATGGAGTAGTCAATCGTCTATCACCAGATGAAAATAAAGAAATGAGAATTACTGATGTGAAGTTAGAGACACTTAAAACTAAAACAACATGGCAGGAAATGTCTCCAAAGAGGGAAAGGAAAATCACAAGGCAGAACAGCTCGGGGAGCATTAAAAGCAGTAGTAGTGGAAGTGCCAGTGGCACATCAGGGAGCAGCGATTATTCTGGTTCACCACCATCTAGCCCTACAAAGTCTTGGAAATCCATCCGTGAAAGCAACCGAAATAATGCACTCTCGTGGAAAGATCTATCGAGTAACAAGTCTGGGAAAACTTCAGATGAGCATTTGCCATCTAAAGGAACCAGCACAAATGAGAACCAGATTGGGAAGTGTGTGTGTAGTCCTGAGCATAGAGGAACTGAGGGTCAGAGAACCAAATTATTGCAGAACCATACCACTCAAAACCAGGGTACAGACAATGCTTCCATTACGGCTGCTATAAATAACACTGTAACTGACAATGGTAAGACAGAGCATGGTCATGTGACCACATGTGTTCATACCACTGACAATGGACATGGAGGTAGTGACAAAAACCCAGCCTGTAACTGCAAAGCTAATGTAGGCAAAAAAGCCAATCAGAATGTGAATAACAAAAACCAAGGAAGTCCTGAACATACATGTAAGCCATCATCTCGGCTGGAGAGTGCCCCCTCTGAGGAACAGAATAATGAGTATTTCTATGATGAGGATTTTACTGTGCAGTTTGACACAAACTTAAGGGAGTCCTCCCCAGGACTAAATTGTACATGTATTGATCCCACAATTGTCAGTGATTTTCCAAACATTGCAACAGGAAGTTACTTGTCGTTTAACAATATGAAGGGATCTGGACTTTTTGATCAACAAGTCAATACAGAACTGTTTTGTCCAGATGAATCTGAACTCTCCTCTTGTAGAAATTCAGTGATGGATATGTCATCCAGTGAACGAGAAATGATGTGCTCAAGTGACATGCTGGAATTCAGTGACAACCCACTTTTCACACCTTCACCAACAAAAGAGTTAGAAAAACAGAATGTTTCTACAGATAGCTTAGATAAAAATTTTAGAACTACTGATAGGTGCTGTCAGGAAGGCAGTTTAGAATCCAGTGATGGGAACCTTTGTGTGAACTGTTGTCCAAAGAAAGAGGATTACTTCCTCTCCTTTGATGGATCTCAAGGTCGATCACAGACAAACTCAGAAAATGATGCATCCTTGCTTTCCATTGGATCAGGTCAAGGTCACTGGGGTCAGAGTTCATCTGGGGAGGAAATGGTCTCAGAGGAATGTACAGACAGTTTCCACTTCTGTTACATGAATGGGAATGGTAACGTTCAGCATGGACACAGGAGGATCAAGTTTCAGTCTTTAAAGGCAGTACAGGAGAGTAATGATGATGCAGACATTGATGAGAGTGAGGGAAAATTATCAGCCTCTCTACCCAGAATAACAAGAAGTCCCATCTCAGAGTTCAACCAGAAGTTAAATGGTGGACATAATGGAAAGAAAGCTTGTTGTCAAGGCAAGAGAGCTCAGCTGCACAAATCAAATGGATCTTCTCCTATAAAGTCATCAATGAGGCATACTATACCTAATAGAAAGGTGACATCTTGGAAGCAGGTCAAGTCTCTGAAGTCTTTAGGAAAGCTAGATATGAATATGGATGCTGATCGCAGCAGTAGTATGCCAGAGCTGTACGTTCAGGCATGGCAGTCTTTTTCATCCCAGGAATGTATGGACATTGCAAAAATTGCAGAAAGCTTTCATGGAAAAAGACATTCAGCATATCTTCTGGATCTGTATCAGAGGGTCAGAAATCAGTCTAATCCAGTCTCCCCAGAAACCATGGCCAATATAGAGCAGATTCTGTTTCATCCACTGATCAGCCAGAACCGTTGCCATGGTGAGGCCAATCTTAGTGCTCCCATTGGTCCATGTGGAGTTTGTGGGCGGGAGGGATCACACAGTAGTCACACTCTCACTAACAGTAACATCCACCACCTGGTCAACACTAGCCGCACTGGACAGCAGCTTGACCAGTACACCAGGAAAAGGATTATTGAATGGCTGGAAAAGGACAGGCTTGATGGACACTGTAAGGCTAAGGGCTGCCAGACTGAGAAACAAATGAAGACTACAGAGACCATCATTTCTCCCACAACTGTTACACTGTGGTGTGGTACCAAGAACTTTAGCTCTCAGTTTCCACCTCACACAAGAGACTGTGGGATACAGACTTCAAACAATATTTTGAAAGAGGGGCATATTTCTAATATGGAGCAACAAACATCACCTACATTAGAAATGGAATATAAAAAGCTGTATATGATGGAAGTCGCTCAACAGACATCTCCAAATTCTGAAAAGCATGACATTCTGTCCATGCTGCCAGAGACTTTTACTGACTTGGATGACATTATACCCAGAAGTAATCCCAGGAGTCACAAACATGTGCCAAGATCAAAGAGTGCTGACAGCAATGTTCCCAGAGATACCACCGAAGTTCCTGAAAGAGGATGCATTTCCTATTACACTTTCAAAACTTTGCCAGATTTAAATTTTACATTTTCTTGTTCTGATGTTGAATTGGAGGAAGAAATCTCACTGTTTGACCCTATACCTGTAGCCATGCCAATCCCTATTCTAACACCAACTTTTGCAAAATCTTTCTGTGGGGTACCTGCTAAGAAGGAAACTCAGTCAACTGGAACAACAAGTAAAAGGTCAAGGTCAGTTCCTGCTAAACTGGTAAATCAACATCTGCTGAAGAATGCTGGGGAATCTGGATCGAGTAGTAGTGGTGTCAGCACCTGCTCCACTTCATCTGGAATAGATCCAGGTTACTGTACTGAAGAGAGACCATTCAGTGTTGGCAGTCCTTCAAATGACATTGAGCGACTACTATTCTACCCTCCACACGTAGAGAGTGCTAAGAGAGAGAAAGTAGAAAGTGAAAGTCAGAAAGGGCAGGGACAAGTGGAAAACCAAAGCCGAAATAAACCAAGTCATCCGAAACTTAAGAGAGTGGCTGAAAACAGGGTCAATAAATATGCAAATGAGGTTCACCCTTTTTCCCTAGATGCAATAAATAAACCAAAACCACTTGAAACTGAAACTGAAAATAAAGCTGATGGAAAGATTTTATTGGAAAACAACCCAGCAGTAGAACATCTGTATTCTTTACAGGAAGAGAACACACCAGTTTCTTCCCCTGATGTCAGTAGATGTCACCACAATTGCTGTCATGGAGAAGACTGTTTCTTTGTCAATCACCCAAACCAGTTTTCAAGTGAATCCAACTCCTCAAATGGAAGTGGACAGGTGAAACCCAACCGAAAACCCCTGAAGTCATGTCTCCGAAAGCAGCACTTTTTGAGGTCAAGGTCATTGTCTGACCCCCATAACCTGGGTCAGACAACAGAGAGTCAGAAACAGAGGAGGAAATTGAATCGCCATTCCTACGCCTGTGAGGAGGTGTATCTTCTGACTGACGAGTCTGGGCAGTATTACCTATGTCAGAGTGATAATTCCTCCCAATCCAATGAGAGCACGGGACCTATCATGTTCTGTCTAGATGATGTTGTCCCAGGGGATGGGATGCAGACAGTCAAGTTGAGGAGGAAAAATCCAGCTGAGGCAGGAACCAAGCCAGCGTCTGAGACGAATGATGCATTGAGTGGGAAAAGAAAGAGTGTTAGTTTTGCTTCTGAAGTCTCTTTCCATGATATAAGTCCACATCCCTCACCCAAACATAGGGTGGAGGAGGCTGAAGTTAAAGAAGCGACAGATAAAACAGGTAATAATTATGTTATGTATTGTTTACACACAATTATAAGTTGATGGGGCAGAGTCACCTTTAATTACCATTTAGACAATTCAACCCACTTTCCACTTTTGACAGGTTTTTGAAAAAAAATAGCTTGCCATATGGAGCCCCCCCCCCCCCCCCCCCCAAAAAAAAATCATGTTTTCATACAAATAAAGAAAAAGTAGTTGATTAATGAAAGAGAAAGTTGGTTTCCAGCAAAACCTCATTACATTAGCAAAGTCATAATTTGCAAACATAAATCAATTTTGGACCCCAGGGCTTTGTTTTACAGAAGTAATGAACTAAAGTTTTTTGCTGTTCAACATTTTGCCTATCTTATACCTTAAAAAGGTTGTTCTTTCCAGATTTTTACATGTAAATGTTCATGTGATGTAAAGAAGAAATTTATATGATTGCAAAATATCTTTAGTCTAAATTGGAAGCCTTTTTGTGCGTATAAAACAGATTCCAGGTTTTTTCAGGAAGTTGTTCTACACTGCATAATTTATAAGCCCAGATCTTTTTTTCATTAATTCTTTCATGGCATGCAAAATGTGTTTAAAATAAAACATAACTCATTAATTTTCTTGTTTCACAATCCATTTGACATGAAACAGAATCCTTATCTGTTTTATTTTTTCACTGATGCATCAAATGGATGTGTAAATGCTTCTATTAATATCTTTACTTTGCTGCAGATATCCAGATAAGTGATCAAATTTCACTGATATGAATAATTGATGAAAACTTGGTAAATGTGATTGTCGTAGATTTAATGATGATAGGTTCTAAATGCTGAAAAACAAGCATTACTCTCGGAATCCAATTACATGTAATGAGGGAGGAAACTCAATTCTAAAGATATTAGCATCTTCATCTTTAAAAAAAATTTTAACATTTTAAATCTTTTTTAAACACGCTTTAAAATTTAAATCAATCTTGTTCTGTTCAAGACTAATTAAGAAACAAGTACAACTTGTATATTAAAACTTCATGTTGGCTCAGATGGAAGTAAAGAGAGCTAATCATGGTCATTTTAGCTCTTTAACTCTTTACAACTTACTGAACTGTGACGCAACATACACTTGATGTTCACGTCATAGAAATATGACGTTACCTTTTCCCCGCAAGCACTTTATAGCGAGGAATAAGTTTCTCTAAAGTTTAGCGTAAATAATTATGACGTAATATTTTAATAAGATTATAACTTTTCTTATTTTATGAGATTTTAGCGAGTATAAATTTAAAGGGAATTGACATTAAATTGAAGATTAAATTTACTTTTAAAGTGCGTGAAAAATGCGTGATTGCGGGGAAACGGTATATGCGTGATTTTGCGTTGGAAATAGGAAATGATATATGCGTTAAAATGCGTGACTGCGGGGAAGAGGGTTAAAAACACAATGTGTCATTCTCATTCTACAGGTCCACCAGTCTTAGCTCGAGCCAACTCAACTGAGAGTTGTGAGTCCTCAGACTCGGATGTTCCCCCTGAAAGTTTCCGGTTGTCCCCTTCCTCAGAACAGAATGTGTACTCGGACAGGTTTGATGAACTGGAGAGAAAAAGAGGTAGGGCTGATAACATTATAATATTGTTCTTGTGTATTAATGTATGAAATACGTTTAAAATAATAAAATAGTTAGAAACTTATGAACTTTAGTTTTAGATTGATAAAATAGTTAGAAACTTATGAAGGACTGAATCTGGAATTAGAAAATTTGCTTGAAATTGCCTTTTTAACATTCTTACCTATCATCATCTATGGTAAAAAAATTATCATGTGCTATTTTTCACACTGTGTATCAGAATATATAAATTAATGCTAAATTTAACAGTAATTTAAAAATTATTAATTTGTAGGAAATTAAGTTTAAAAAGTACTTGTAAGTAAGCATATGTCTCTGTATAAAGTATTTTGAATGTACTGGTAATTATTATAATAGGGAAGAAAGAAGAAACTAAAATTTTGTTATTGAAAGATGTGTTAAAAATCTTTGTAGAATAAGTTTCTAGTTGATGAAACAATTGTCGCCGACAGTCAATTGTCGATCGATTGGAGGCTCTTCGATGCTACTAATCGATTATGAAACAAAAGTCGCCGACATCGCAAACAAAAATATTATGAGTTAATTTGGGTTTAAACTTCAAATTTTATTACCAAAAAATCATTTGCATACATTTTAAAAGTTATCCTCAATGTTTAAAACGTAAAAACCTTCTTCACTTCACTTCAGCAGTTGTTGTTGACAATTATTACCGCCATCATTGAATGTAAGGCCAAAAATAAAATTAGCTTTGTTTGGCGTTGCCGGCCGAATCACATAAATTGGTGCCGTCTGAAGAATTTTTTCAACAGATACTGATCATAATTTTTATTTCTTTATTTTCATCCGGATTTAGGTGTTTGTACGTTTGCGTAATATATACAGAATGGGAAAGAATCATGTAAACACTTGATTGATCAAACAGTTTTCATTTATAAGCATCTATGTGATGTTGAATAAATGTGTATCATGAATCCAAGCATATGGCTGTCGAAAGCAGTAAAATGTTAACTCGGTATAACAGAAGTTGATGGCAGGACTCTCTGTGGTAATGTGGTTTTAAATGGGACTGTGGTTGTTGTTAAACTATCGGAAACCCATGATGCCCAGATACTAACAACATGTACCATTTCTGAAATTTTAATTAAAAAAAATATTTTCCCTACCTACCGACCCAAAGGTATAAAGACTAAGTCGGCAATGCCAAACCAACAATATTTTAATTGTGGCCTAAGGTCAGGCTAATAACAGGTAATGGCCAGTGTTATGGGGTTCTACTATAATCAGAAATACACAATCAGTACAGAAGTTCTATAAACTTAATTATTTTAAAAAGAATTTTATAAGTCCAAATTAAATCAGACAAAGTTATTCCAAGAAAACAAATAATAAAAGGTGTGACTAATATAAGTAATGTTCCCATTTGTATACATGTATTTATTTTTTTAATGAAGCATCATACAGAAATTTAACTCTTATTTTCAATTTTACTGAGAGAAAATAAAGAATTAGAATACTTTGTCATTAAACAAATTTACTGAAAAAATTATTTTGTTTATTTATATATATTACTGACTTTATTTACTTATTAAACTTTGAATAGAAGAAGAATATAAACATTGTTTTTGTGATTATGCTTTAACATGTTAAGGAATCTCTTATTAATTTTATTTGAAAGGGTAAAAAACCCGATTATAGCCGATTATCAATTGATTATGTGTTTCCGATTACAACCGATTATCGATTATGATTTTTCTCCGATTATTCAACACTATCCACTTTCCATTGTTAAAAGTAAAAATATTTAATGTATTTGATGTGTGAAAATTAAAATTGCTATTTAAAATACACTTGATGACATTGTAGGTATGTTGATAGAGGTGTGTCAGGTATCAGAGGTCATCTTGAATCATTTCAGCACGGCCAAAAACCCATTTGACAAGGTAATGTGCTTAACTGAAAATAACTCGGAAGATGTTAGTTATCCATGTTCAGTCAAGGGTGTACAGGGATTAACCCAGGGTTGTATTCCACATACCGTCTGTCCTGGGTTTTTTTTTTTTTTTTTTGCGTGTTGCAAATTTTGAGAAAAAAGGGTAGATTAGTTCTGTTTTTATTTTGCGATTTAAAATTTTTTTATTTAAAAAAATGGTAACGTTTTTATGGCACACAGTAACCAATATAATTTCTGTGTGTTTTATTTTTTGCGAATTAAAAATGATCACAAAAAAATCCGAAAAATAGATCATCACCAAAAAAAACGGATATACAGACCCTTAGGATGAAGGCCGAAGGGTGTATGGAAAACAGTCAGAGGTTAATCCCTGTACACCCTTGATTGGACATAGATAACGAATTTATTTCCAATGTACACTGTAAGCAAATAAATTTGTTGTAAACCCATATCTAATCAATGGTGTTTGCAACTATCAATAAGATTTACTACGTCTTCAATATGTGACGTCATGTTACATGTATTTGCTTTTCGTGATAGAGAAACTGTGCATTGTGTATCACATAATTTACCCCCAGCTCAAGCCGGGTGCACAGAAAACCAATCAAACCTTGTGTTACAAGCTAGCAGGAATTAATAATGTGTATATTGATATTTTATAGTAATAATCCTTTTCCATATCAGTGCACTGCATGATGTTGTCAAAGTAGGAATCACAGATACTGTATACAGGGGTTAATTTTGCCCCATCTTATTTTTGCCATTTCACACCTGCAAACAATTTTGCCCCATTTTGAATTTGCCCAGACACAGTTCTGTTTTAGAGATAATGATATTTTCTTTTATTCTTAAATTTGCTCAATTGCGACTAGGGCTAAAGGGGTGAAAATAAAACGGGGCAAACATTTCCCTGTACACAGTAGATACGAGGGTTGTTCGGAAAGTTCGTGGACTTATGTCATATCTTTTTAGCTCACCTGAGCTGAAAGCTCAAGTGAGCTTTTCTGATCACATTTTGTCCGGCGTCCGTCTGTCTGTCCGTCTGTCTGTCTGTCTGTCTGTAAACTTTTCACATTTTCAACTTCTTCTCAAGAACCACTGGGCCAATTTCAACCAAACTTGCCACAAAGTATCCTTGGGTAAAGGGGATTCAAGTTTGTTCAAATGAAGGGCCACGCCCTCTTTCAAGGGGAGATAATTAGGAATTACTGAAAAAATAATGGCATCATTTAGAAATCTTCTTCTCAAGAACCATAGGGCCAGGAAAGATGAAACTCATGTGGAAGCATCCTTAGGTAGTGTACATTCAAATTTGTTCAAATCATGACCCCCGGGGGTAGGGCAGGGCTGCAATGGAGGATCAAAGTTTTACATAGAAATATATAGGAAAAATCTTTAAAAATCTTCTTCTCAAGAACAGCAAAGCCATGATGAGTCATATTTATATGGAAGCATCCTCAGGTAGTGTAGATTCAAGTTTGTTCAAATCATGACCCCCGGGGGTAGGGCGGGGCCACAATGGAGGATCAAAGTTTTACATAGAAATATATAGGAAAATCTTTAAAAATCTTCTTCTCAAGAACAGCAAAGCCATGATGAGTCATATTTATATGGAAGCATCCTCAGGTAGTGTAGATTCAAATTTGTTCAAATCTTGACCCCCGGGGGTAGGGCAGGGCCACAATGGAGGATCAAAATTTTGCATAGAAATATATAGGAAAAATCTTTAAAAATCTTCTTCTCAAGAACAGCAAAGCCATGATGAGTCATATTTATATGGAAGCATCCTCAGGTAGTGTAGATTCAAGTTTGTTCAAACCATGACCCCCGGGGGTAGGGCGGGACCGCAATTGAGGATCAAAGTTTTACATAGAAATATATAGGAAAAATCTTTAAAAATCTTCTTCTCAAGAACAGCAAGCCATGATGAGTCATATTTATATGGAAGCATCCTCAGGTAGTGTAAATTCAAATTTGATCAAACCATGGCCCCCGGGGGTAGGGCGGGGCTGCAATGGAGGATCAAAGTTTTACATAGAAATATATAGGAAAAATCTTTAAAAATCTTCTTCTCAAGAACAGCAAAGTCATGATGAGTCATATTTATATGGAAGCATCCTCAGGTAGTGTAGATTCAAATTTGTTCAAACCATGACCCCCGGGGGTAGGGCGGGGCCACAATGGAGGATCAAAGTTTTACATAGAAATATAAAGGAAAATATCTTCTTCTGAAGAACTGCAAACCATGATTAGTCATTTTGATATGGAAGCATCCTCAGGTAGTGTAGATTCAATTTTGTTCAAATGATGACCCCCAGGGGTAGGGTGGGGCCCAGTGGGGGAAGGAAAGTTTTACATAAGAACATATAGAAAAAATATTTCTTCTGAAGAACAGAAAAGCTATGTTTAGTCATATTGATATGGAAGCATCCTCAGGTAGTGTAGATTCAAGTTTGTTCAAACCATGACCCCCGGGGGTAGGGCAGAGCCACAATGGAGGATCGAAGTTTTACATAGAAATATAAAGGAAAATATCTTCTGAAGAACAGAAAAGCTATGTTTAGTCATATTGATATGGAAGCATCCTCAGGTAGTGTAGATTCAATTTTGTTCAAATGATGACCCCCAGGGGTAGGATGGGGCCCAATGGGGGAAGGAAAGTTTTACATAAGAACATATAGAAAAAATATTTCTTCTCAAGAACAGAAAAGCTATGTTTAGTCATATTGATATGGAAGCATCCTCAGGTAGTGTAGATTCAAGTTTGTTCAAATGATGACCCCTGGGATAGGGAGGAGCCACAATGAGGGATCAAATTTTTACAAAGGAATATATGGGATTTTTTTTTTAAAAAATCTTCTCAAGTACAACAAAGCCATTTGTTATATTGACATGGAAGCATCATCAGGTAGTTTAAAATTCAAGCCCCCCCCTCCCCCAGTCTTTTCAATACTGAACTGATTGTGCTTTTGCCTAGCCAATGTGCTCAGGTGAGCGATGTGGCCCATGGGCCTCTTGTTTATTTAATGTCATAATTTATGTTATCCAAATTTGGTAGAAATATTTTAACAATAAATTTAAATGATTTGTTTTAAATTTTTCAAAAATATCCTGATTTATTTAAAACTTATCCAGAATTAAAAACTGCAAAAATCGGATCGCGGCGCAGGTCAAAATTTAGTAATTTACAAACAATGCACTAAATAATGTCTGTAGTCATCTTCTCTGTAAAATGGAGCAAAAACGAAAAAAATCCTAGACGTTTAAATTAATAACTGTTACATCGATTCGTATTCCAAATTATGGCTTAATATTTTGCTTCGGTAAAAAGAGATCAATTTGAGAAGATAGGTAGTCCTCATTGAAAACGACAAAATCGATGACGTTGTAGAACGTCACGGAGCAGCAGGTAACGATGTAGTTTTGTGTTATACTTGGGGATAATCATCAATAAACGCTAAAAATGTTGGAGGAATCAGAAACTATGCCACAAGCACGTAGTGCATGTGTGTGTAAATGGTAGAGGCGGTATTTGAGTGACTGAGACTCTGTATCGGACAAGGACAATCTGTGAAGAAACGGTTTAACTGTAAAAATCTGAACGAAAACTTTTAAAAGTTAGGACGTCATTGAAAGACGTAGGCGCTTCAAAGTTGCTCATCTTGTGAAAGCACAGTTAAGCGGTAAAAGAAATTAAACATTAACAAAGGAAATTATAAAACGAGAACAATTGTTAGAAAAATAAATGTCAAGTGATTGAAAAAGGTTTTTAATAGGTGGGTATTGGACTATACTGTGTGAATGTATACCGATAAATTTTTTAAGAAACTCTTGACGCTATGTTTTTGACGTTACATTGCTTTTAAGTGTGCGCCATGGTTACAAAACATGTTGGTTTTAAAATGAAATAAATTAATTTCTATCAAATCGAATGGAATGAAATTTCACAGATCAACAAAACAAATATTTTTACACATGATATTGTGCTTATTTTAAATTTCTTGGAAGTAGTATAACAAAGATTGACGTCGTCCACGAACTTTTCGAACAACCCTCGTATTTTTGTTTAACTTTCAAATTTCTGAAAATTATTTTTCAGTTTCATTTCATAAAAAAAAATAATTGAATTGCATGAGAAAGATGGCCATTGTCAGGGGTTTTTTTTCACAGTTTGCAGTATATTGATCATAACAATATGACAGAGCATGGAATTCATAAAGCACAACAAATCATTTACAAATAAAGTATTTTATAAAATTGTACACATAAATTTATTTTTTCTAGTTGCGATTGGGTAGTTCAGCAGACACACCAGAAATTGGTGACCTAATTTTAAACCGACTGTGTCCAGCTCTGAACCAGGTAGTTGGGGACGGACTCAAACCCTTCCTAAATGGCTTCCAGATGTTTGGTCGTGTCAACATCACAGTCTGGAAAGTGGCAGAAATCTCCGCTGAACAAGGTACCACTACTGTAAACTGTTTATGTCAGTGCATGGGATATTGTCAAGAAAAAACTAAATCACTTATTTGCATGGCCAATCATGCTCTTGAACTACCGGTATGATAATTTCAATTTGGAAAATTTTTAAATCATTTAATAATCCAGGTTTACCTTAATATAATTATAATCAGATCATCTCTGTATATTATTCAGTGTTTATTAAATGTACTATAATTTCCAATATAGGTCCATACACCAGAGCTATCCACGACCTCGTCCAGCAGTTGAAGAGTAACCCCGCCCTGACCAGCTGTTCTGCCAAATTTGAAGCTTTTCTGTTTGGTCTTCTCAAGTAAGCTTTTTTAAATATTAAGTTTTATTTATTTAAAGATTAAAAAAAGAAATTTTAATGGCAGACTTAGTCTTATTCAACGTATGAGAGTGAATAACCACGTATAGAAGAATGATCTCAATATGATATGGTCACTGTAATTCCTTGTATATCTCAAACATGTAATTATATCTGTTAAATATTTACTGAACATTTACATAAATTGGCATATTTAAAATTTAGTGCAATCACTGGGTATGGAGTTGTTTGCATAATCATGAATTAGTGCTACACATGTCCATGTTGTGTATTGGATTAAGGAATGAATTCTTAGTATTCATGAATTAGCACATCATTGTCTGTGCCAAAGCTGCTAAAATATGAAGCCCACTAAAATAAGTACACATACAATATATTTTATCAGGAATAAAATATACTTAATTATTTTCATAGCTTGATGAAGTATGAGTCAAGCAGGTTCACTGTACATAAAATAAAACTGATACTGTATTATTTCAGCCTGCGGTTACTGGACTATTGGATGGGTTACCTACGCTATAGCGATAGCTTGACAGACAAGTTCTACAACTCTGATGGAGTCATCGTCCTGAGTCGAACCTGTCACGAGCGAGCTTATGATGAGATGCTCATCTCCTTACAACCTCTATCAGTTCTTCCATTTCAACTCGGACTCGAGTATGTTTTGGAGAACTCTAAATATCTCACTCACTCACCTACCTTGAGCCCAAGTAGGAATAAGTCCCCATTGATAAGCCCTTCCCTAGAGAAGGAAATTGTGGTTCCACCCCCCAAACCAGCCAGGAGTATGAATTTGAATGGAACTGGTCTGATCTCAACTAAAGCTTGGGAGTGGATCAAAGGGAGTGTGTGTGATGATGGGCCAGAGCAAAAGTTGGAATCCAGGATGGATGAGAAGAAAGAAGAGGTTTCAGTCAATTTGTCTGATACTTTTGGTGATAAACCTAGTAAATATGTTGAAGACGTGCAAGTTGAAAAAATCCAAAAACCTAGGGAAAGTAAAGTTACTGCAAGTAAGGAAAGAAGGCCATTAAGCAGTGCTAACCAGGTAGACCTGAAAGGAATGTCTGACTCATTTTCTGGTATTGCCCAAAAATTATTAGGAATGAATACTTCCAGAGACAGATATTCTGAAAATAGTGTTAATAAAAATTCAGCTGTGCCCAACACTGAAAAGAAAATGCCTAAAGAAACAGTTACATCAAAGGAGAATGTAGAGACGGTGTCATCAAAGGCCAAGTCAGGCATCCTTAAATTCTTTGACAAGCTGTTGCTTCCTAAGGACACTGGGTCAGTACCTAAAAGTCAGATACCGAAACGTCACAGCTGGAATGTTCCAAATGAGGGAGGTCAGAGGTCACCTGGATCAGAGGAAAGTAAGAGTCTCTCACCTGTTTCTGGAAACAAGGAATTGAAGAATAGTCTGGAATATCAGAAACAGAAGTTTGCTAATGCTCGAAAAAATCAGAAATCCAAAACAGAGAATGTTGTAGCGAGAAGTATTCAGAGTGAGGCTAAGATGGACAATGGGGGAAAAGATACAAGGCAAATTGAAGAAAAGTGTGCTGGGAAAAATCTTTCACAGAAAGTTGATAATAAATCATCCAGTAAACAGGCAAGAAATCCACCCTCAGATTTAAGTCTGAAACTTAGAAATGTCCCAGAGACTCCTGAAAAAGTACCACTAAAGGCTGCGGATTCTCCCTCGAGAAAATTTGGGTCACCTCAGAGGAGGCTCACAGACAAAGGAAAAGTCAGCAAGATCCCAACACTGCAAAAGAAGTCTGAGAACAAAAAGCCACAGAGGAATAGCCTTGTGTTAGACTCATCAGGTTATAGCTCATCAAGTGTGCTCAGCTCACCTACTCGAGTCAAGCATTCACACTCAGCAGGTCAAATCCCAGTCCCAGTACAGTCACCAAAGAAAACTAAAACAAACTCATCAAAGAATTCAGAAGTGTCTACAAACAAGAGTGGGTCCCTTAAAACAGTACCCAAAGCACCAGTGGATAAGCATGAAGGAATCATTTCCTCTACCGAGTTTCCAAGTAAGGATCCATCTGAATCTGTGGAGTCAAATTCATCAAGTGAATGTGCATCTCTAGAGGTAGGGCCAACACTTGTAGCACCTTGTCAAGAAAAGAAAAAGCACAGGTCTTCTGTTGAGAAATATACTGCTGAGAAAAGCCAAAATAAAAGCACACCTCCAGTTCCTGAGGCCCAGACAGTGGAGCTTGATATTAACTCTAACTCAGCACTTCCTGTTCTGCCAGATCAAGCTGTGGGTGGAGGGGGACAGTGTGCGAGTGAAGGGACGACACAGCCAGGTCCGAGCAAGGACTTCATGAAGCCTGACTTTAGGTTTGTTAAATCAGATTGATATAAAATCATATCCTGCATTTGTTATATCTGTGCACAGGCACAGTAAAATATGCTTATGGTGAACACGCTTTTAATGAATTGTCATTATTGATCCTTACAACTCCGTAATTTTCATTCCCCATGGCTTAAATATATAATTGTAAACTAATATGTTGACGGTGCGACCATTAGGGCGAGCGCAGATACCTTTCAGTTTTAATTTATATCTGGCTCCTCAAACCGCACGTGACATTTGATACTAACATCTAGACTCTGACGTCATATGACGTCGTATGTATGTTGCATTACCAAAACAAAGTCTGAACAGTGCTAATTTTAATCAAAAATGTTTAATCTACTATCTCTCTACTATATATCCATTAAATCAAGGTAATTTTATTTTTTGTTGAATTTTTGTTGCTACCGCGAGAACGTAGTTTGAGGCGAGATGCAATTCGCTAAGCATTATGGGACCACAGGTAACTGTGGAAAAAATTCATTTGGATCAATGTGCATAGTCTGAATTTTGTCTTTGTCCAGGCAATGCTTTAAAAGCTCGCAGTGATGAGCGGCAAATCACCACTCGCTGCACTCGCTATAATAAAATATGTTTATAACGAATCAAAATCATCTGTCCCTGAGATTTCATAACAAGCTCATATTACTGTATTCAGGCTTATATTTGTCTGTCCATCTGGTTCCTGTAATTCAGTTACACACAGATTTATCTAAATGTGTCTGTATCCATTTTGTTTCTTATTGATCATGAAAATTATGTGTCATGAAAGACATACTTGCACATAATTTTCTAAAGCAATTTGAATAAATTTCACATTTGATAAGTAGTAGACCATATTGTCAATAGTTTGTAATATAAATGTGTTCAATAAAGGGAATAAATGTCCAGTTTATGGAAAAGTTTCTTTATATTGTCTTTGCCAAAAATGAAATAATATTTTTTTTTTTAAAATTTAGTTAAGTGTGTTGCATGTGTTTCAATCTGTGTTTCAGGTACATAGAGACAGTCACTGACTTTGAGTCGAGTGAGGTATCTCAGCTGTCGTACAGGAAGGGTGACCACTTTGAGGTGCTCGCCGAGATTGACTCGAGTTGGTTTTACTGTGTGAACGGGCCACAGGAAGGACTAGTTCATGTTGATGCTGTCAAACCTCTGAGTGACAAAGACGAGTTTCATCTGCTTCATAACAAGTTCTCATAATAGTCGTGATCAACTCTATGTTTATTATTTTGTTATGATTTATAATATTTAGTAAATGTCTTGGATTTAAGTGTTCATTCATTAAGTATAATAATTAAATAAGTGGAAGTAAAATTATATAAATGTTTATCTCTATGGTCTATTTTACAAAGAGATGTTAGAAACACAACATGCTTATTCAAGTTAGGAAATCTTTTTTTGGTTTCTGATGTTTCGAAAGGTGAAAGCATGGTTTTAAAACTGAAATCCAGATTTTTATTCTGGACTACCATTAACTTGATAAATTTACAGAATCAGCTGATACATGGGTTTTGATTGCTTGATATATATAATACATGTACTTTGTTTTCTTCCCTTATTTGATAGATAAAATTTCATTTACATTTGTATTTAAAAAAATTTTAATGTACAAAGACAAGGGACTCGAAGAGTGCAATACACATATAATTATACTTTACTATATGACAGTGCATTAGTAAATACACAGTATGTTAAACTTTCATTATAGGTTAACAAATTGTGTTTGTAAGATGTGATTTTATTGGCTTCACGTTATAATTTACAAGGTTGTGTTTGTAAGATGTAATTTTATTGGCTTCACGTTATAATTTACAAGGTTGTGTTTGTAAGATGTGAATTTATTGACTACCCATCATACTAAGTAAGTTACCATGGTTATGTTGTAAGATGTGATTTTATTGGCTTTGTTATGTGCTTAAATCCTAGTACACTTGTTTTATTTCTTTCATTTAATTACTTTGCCATGTACTTGTTGTGATAAAAGTTATTGCAAATATCATGTGATAATGAAAGTTAAAGATTTTGTTTTTGGTCTTGCTAAAATCAAACTATTTTAACACAATACCCTTTTTCACTTGTTTTTTTTTTCTTTTTTTTTTGCACAATTTTTAATAATTATTTTTTTTGGACATCCTATATTGATGTGTATTAACAAAGGAGATTTTTGTTCAAGTTCTTTTGTACTGCACTGTATTGTGGGGGATATGATCTTTCAACTGTCTGGATGAAACTTTTTTTTCTTTCGATCACCCTCCATGCTATAATGAATGTCCTCGAATTGTTATACATGTACAGTAATGCATCATTATACTGATTTTTCTTGAAACCGAACATGATTTTATGTGCATAAAGATATCTATAATGAAAGTAAAATATTTGAGATTTTTTCAGCTCCATATTTATTTTAAATTCTCTAAGATTTTGATTTCATTGAGGACAAGTTTAAATCATGGAGGGAGTTTTGTGAGCCCATCTTGAATGACAATGTTGATACTTTTGTATTTGATTAGACATTGATTTAATATGAAACACTCGTGTTATTTATTATACGTATAAGAATTTCAGTGTCACTTGTTGAGTACTAACTGATGTATGAAAAACTTAAATGTTTTAGTATCTCAAAATTGATAAATGAAATAATCGTTTTTGGTATAAAGTTATGTTATTAGTTTAATTGGGATGATTAGGTGTGTATAGATAAACTCAGTAAGGGAAAGACAGCTACACTAAAGCAAATTTAAGATAGACAAAAAAGAGATATCTCTCTTTGCAAATTAGTTTTCATAATATGTATAGTACTTATTGTTTTCTTCTTTGTCATTCCCCCTATAGCGTCATCATTGTCGATTGAGAGGCTTACAAAAGTAAAAAGTGAACAGAAAGGTCATGGACTCCTCAACGTCTTTTATTGTTGCTCCATCAATTGTTCTTCAGTTTTACAGGATTGATTTTTCATTTCAGTTTTACAGGATTGATTTTTCATTTCGCAATCAAATAATCCTGCATTATTCAGAACAAAAGTATTAACTGAAAATGACAACAGAAAAATTATCTTTGTTGTATTTTTTTTTTTAATTTTGCTTTTTTTTAGATTGTTAACTAGTTAATGCTTTATAGCATAATGTTAATATTCAAATAACATTTAAATTGACTGTGTTTGTAAACATTTGCTTTTTAGAGTTATACATGTGCAATATAAGAAGAAAATACATTTTAAACTTATTGCTAGTCATTTTTTTTTATGTCCATCTACAGTATTTGAGTAATCATGCAATTCAAAGTTATTTATATACAGGTTGTTTTTAGTCACGCTCTTTTTATATTTAATATTGTGATTTTCTGATGATGTAGAATCATTCTAGAAAATTTAATATTAAATTCTATTTTAACTGCATTTTGCACTTTCATATGAATTTGGTGATTGAATGACTGTTACTAAAGTAGATTTTATCAGAATAATGACTGTATAAGGTCAAAATTAGCTGACAGATTTATTTATTTCCAAAAGAGGATTTTCTAGATTTTATCAAATTGGAATTTCTTTGCTCATACAAAGTCCCTTGATTTGATGTTACTTCATTCTACAAAAATTTCTCGAAAATATGTAGTACATTGATTATATGTGTTCAAATACATGTATCATGTTTTTTTGCAATTTATGATTGATATACACATTTCTTTTTAAAGCTGAGTTTGAATCTTGTGAAGTTTCTTCTATTTTTCTTTTTCTTTTGAGTTTGCTTGTAATGGAAGATTAATTTGAAGATAATATGATATACAGTAAATGACAAGATTAGATGTATAGTATAGATGATATACACACAAACTTGGTAATTCATTCTCTGTGGAATAATAAACATTTAAAGTGCATTCACATGCTTTGATATTCATTTAGATGAAAGATCTAAGGCATTTAAATTGGCGGAGGTGGACCTATTCTCACTCTTACAAACACAATTTGTTAGGACGGTGTGTTCCCCGAACGGCTACTCGAGTCAACTAGGTGACTTATTGCCATTGGTCTTTGTCCTCAATTGTTATGTTTCATCTCCTTAGTAAAATTGAATATTTATAACTTCTGCTCAAATATTTCTTGACTAACTGTATTCAGTTTTCATATGAAAACATGCAGGGATAATATACCCGGTAAATATAAACTGCGAGTTCTTAATCATTGTACCTGGGACTCCACGGACGGGACAAAGACTGCGGAAATAGATAAAAAATCTTCTATACTGCAGTACATTTTAAAGCAAATCTGAATGCATGGAAAGGAGCTTGAAACTTTTTCCGAAATTGTGTTTTCCATGACCCCTAGGGCAAGAAACACAAAGGTCATACAGTTAAAATGTGCTCAATCATAGAATCTCTGCTCTTACACGTCTTGAAGATAAACTGAGTGTATTGTATAGCAGAGCACGATGCCCTCTACCATGTTTCTCATGACCTCAATGACAGAAGTTCTTCTGGGGAAGGGTCAAAATAGTCATATTGTAAGAATGTACTTAATCTTAGAAAATCTACTCGTGCACATCCTAACGTTTAACTGAGTGTACAAATGTACGATTAGAAAGAACATAAAAAAACTTTATACCAAAACTTTTCCTGACCCCCAAAGACGGGGTTCTTCCCCCACGGCAGAGTCAAAATGGTCATATATTGTAAATGCACTTTATGCTAGAAAATCTTCTTTACTTCTACATATTTTGAAGATAAACAGTGCATGGTTAAAGAGAGAGCATGAAGTCCTTTACCAAAATCCCATATTTCATTACCCACATAGCGGGGGCCAAAAGTTAATACATTGTATAGTGAAAATGAGCTCAATCTTAGAAAATCTTCTCTATATCTTTGTACCTTTTGAAGATGAACCAAGTGCATGGTCTAGAAGAACAAGGAACCCTCTATCATGAAAATTATGTTCCCATAACCTCCAGGGCTGGATCCGCGGGGTTCTTCCTCAGAGCAGGGTCAGAATAGTCATACAGAAAAAAAGGACAATCTCAGAAAATCTACTTTACTCTGGCGGACGTTTTGTGTGTCATTCCATACAGTTACATATTTTTAGAGTCAAGTACCATATTAGTCGTCCCACTCCGGATTCAACCCAAGCTAATGAAACTTGCAAATTGATTGAAAATTGCAAAAGGTTTTTTTAGGTAAAGGACTGAAGTTTGCTTACTGTTTTAAACTTATATAATGCTTAAAAAATTTTGCTTTTATAACATTTTAAATGGAAAGCATTATAGTACTGTTATATAAATGTGAGAATAGCAGTTGATAGAAGCTGACAAAGACGATTTGGATAATACCAATGCTGATGAAAACTCAGCTGATGAACAACAAATACCAAAGACAGTACCAAGAAGATCTAAAAGAGTAAAGAAAGCAGCATCATGGATCACTAGTGGAGACTATATAGTAAATCAACAAACTGCAAAACAACAACAAGACTTGAAGGCGAGAGCAGATTATTTGCAGACATGATCTTCCAGCAATGTATTTCATTCCAACAACAGTAAAGAACTGGTAGAAAAGGCTCTGATAGATATTAATACAGGTAAGAATTAGTTAGATAAGTAGGTTAAGTCAGTCAGTCAGTTCGGTAAGTGTATATATTTTTCAGTGATATTCTATGTTTTGTATATGATTTCATTTTATTTTACAGTCGTCATTTCATGAAGAGGGTGATTTATTCCATATATTAATTATTATATTTCAGGATTTAATTAATTCAGTTATTTTGTCATACTTTACAGGATTTCCTTTATTGAAATAAATCGACATGGAACTGTTTACATACTCTGTGTTTATCGAGTTATTTATAGATGTATGACATCACAGTGGTCATTTAAATCCCTGTCCCTTTCTATTTATATCTTGTGTAGTGTCAGGGCCAAGATGGATTTCATTGGTTTTAAGTTTTCCACCTCTTTTATGTTTTCGTTAATTACTTTTGATTGAGATCTTGGTCTGAGCAGATATATTGGCTTCTTCTTATTTATTTATCTATGTTGACTTATTTATGACAATGTCCAAGACAGGACAGAATTTTTGCTAATTTCATTAAATTACCTCTATAAAATTGTTTTCTGCTAAATTCCAAGATAACAATATTCTAATATAAAGTATGAAAGTTCAGTTTGTGTGATTATTTTTTTGACTTTGTAAATATTCAGAGTGTTGATTTAATATATCAGTTTGTTATATTTTTAAATTTTGTTCCTATATAAATCAATTCTGAAAAAAGTCTAACATTTCTAATGTTTTACTGAGCGGGCATAAAAAAAATCGATGTTTGACCGCGGAGTGAGATATTGGACCTGTCGATGAGATGTTGGACCGCTTACGTCACATAATGGGCGGTAAAGCTAAATCTCATTTTCATTCGTTGGTGTTCGACATATATATATATGTATGTCAAAAAATAATAATGATAAAATAAAAAAAAAATAAAAGGTATAACAAAACATTTATTGACTGCGTTCTCGGGCAAAATGCGTTATGTCGACCCCTCGAACTAAACTGTTTGCCATCGGCCTAAGGGCCTCAGGCAAACAGTTTGGTTCTTGGGTCCGACAAAACGCATGTTGCCCTCGAACCCAGTCAATAAATGTATACTGGAAGAGTTTGGTATAATTTGATCTCATTAATTGTACAGATTATTGATTAAGAAAGATAACTCTTAATGTTTCATCTATGAGCACAATTCAAGGGAAATAACTCTTGATTTGACCGTGCTATCTGGCAAGTAATCTACATGTATGTATTGTTATAAAATATTTATGATTTTTTACATATATTTCAGAGCTGTGATAATACTGATAATACTGAGATCGAATATATTTATCCACAACAACAGCATTGCGTTTGTCTTTATTTTCCTATAAACGAACCCCATTTCATATAAAAATAGTTCCTGGGGTCATACTGGGAGAATACCGCGGATGCCCCCCCCCCACCAACATATGTATATATATATATATATATATATATATATATATATATATATATATATATATATATATATATATATATATATATATATATATATATATATATACTGTTCCGTCAGCAGTCATTCCTAGGCACCACAAACAATGGTAATTAAAGGTTTCGTTAAAGATCAAAGTGGAATTAAAAAAAAATAGTAATTAGTTTCTGCCAATGGGGTGAATTGGTTTGCCAAACAGTCTATTTATATGAAACTGAATCCACAACATTGGAAAGTCCGAAGGAAGATTTTTAATAGACTTTACATTGACCTATTTATCAGATTTCATTTATCAGATTGTCATTTGTCATTGGTCATTTGCAAAATTATTTTGTTAAAAAACATTCTGATTGTACACACAAGTACTCTGAAGTTGACATTAAAAAGATGCTTGAGTTTGTGATTGACAATATCTATGTGGTTTTCGGAGACCAGGTCTTCCAACAATCTATTGGAATTCCCATGGGTACCAATTGCGCCCCGTTATTAGCAGACCTTTTTTTGTATTCATATGAAGCAGAATTTGTCCAAAATCTTGTACGTGAAAAGAAGAAAACACTTGCTGTGGCCTTCAACTCGACATTTAGATATATCGACGATGTATTGTCAATTAACAATGGCTATTTTCATTCTTATGTCGATACGATATATCCTGGTGAGCTTGAGATAAAAGATACCACAGAGTCTGACACATCTGTTTCATATTTGGATATTTTACTTGAAAAAGACGTTAATGGGAATCTAACAACCAAGCTTTATGATAAACGTGATGACTTTAACTTTTCAATCGTCAACTTCCCTTACTTATGCAGCAATATACCTTCATTACCGGCATACGGGGTATATATCTCTCAGTTGATTCGATACGCAAGAGCATGCTCTACGTATGAACAATTTCTAAAACGAGGTAAATTATTGACAAACAAGTTGATGAAACAAGAAAATCAGCTGTCTCGTTTAAAGTCATCATTTCGTAAGTTCTATGGTCGATACAATGACCTTGTCAGCAAATACAATTTATCATTGAGTCAAATGCTGACTGACGTTTTTCATACTAATTGTTAGGCCATTATTTACACACTGAATTGTCGACGGATTTTTCCGTTATTTCCCGACCATGACAAGGAGCACACGGCGGGTGTGACCGGTCGGCAGGGGATGCTCACTCCTCCATGGCACCTGATCCCACCTCTGGTGTTTAGAGGTCCGTGTTTGCTCTGCTCCTATTTTGTATTGTTTAATGGACCTTTGAGCTTGAATACTGTTCGTTATCTCCATATATTTCATTTCACAAAAATTATCTAATGACTAAGATGTGTCTTAAGCTTAAGATCGCACAGTGATAGCAGTGATGCATGTAGCTGTCAGTATCGAAATGTGCAGCCTTTTGAAAAATGTAAACCATTAGAATAAAAAAAAGACGTTGTTTGTCGAAGGGTAAATATTTTAAGACGTGCCTCTATTTTTTTTTTTACTTCTTATGCTGAAAAATATGATGTAGTGCGCATGCATGGCATTATTTCGTTCGCATGAGATATTTATAGGTGTTTGATTGAATATCTGTCCAATTTGCGCGTTACAGCGGACATAGCCTGCGAGGTCCGCATTCGCACAAAGACCGACATTCAGAAAATAACCTTTTTATTATCCCCTCGCAACGGAGTTGGAGGGGATATAGTAATTAGCTTGTTTGGAGGGGATGGGTTAGTTTGCCCTTTGTGCGAAACGGAAGTGACGTAATTTGCGTCGGGATCAATGTCAATGCTGCCTTGATTTATAGATCAGCTCTTTGCAAGGGGATGCTTTGCAAAGCGGTGCCCCTGTTACATATTTTAATAGTTACCATACATTTTTAAGATTAATATTTAAATGGAAT